CTTGGATATTCAGCTTTTGGGGACAAGGCCAAGCTTCTGAATGGACAAAACCTATGGTCATACAGCCATCTGAGTAAGCACGTGGTATCATACTCATGTTCACAGTAGTTCGGACCAGCAACGCTAGTGCCCTCTAAAAATTCGTCCTACAAAACTATTTATGTTGCCAAGTTAGTGGTAAAAGGTTGAAAAATAGAGAACACAACTATCATTGCACATACCTTGCAAATGACACTATTGGATTTTTCAGGGTTTGGTGCATAAGTTTTCATTTTCAGGCCACGTAGAACCATTTCCTGAGATAGTCCAGTTTTTTTATAGTGGCTTTGTTTCTCAAATTAGCTTCCTCTTGAAGGTGTTTCTTGATAATGGAGTTTAATGCCTGAAAATTTGATATAATAATTAACTTAATTTTACATATCAACGTCAGAAAAATTTCTTGAACACACTTAGCATTTTCTGTCGATTGTGATGAATGAGTACCTCATTCCTATATCATCAATATCTCCCAACTTCTCAATGAAATCCTCCTGATTTATCATGCTCAATGCCATTAGTTTGGCCCCAAGGAAATCTCTGAGTCTCTATACAATCAAGTAATCAAAGCTTATTAGGCTTACATTTAAGCTTTCAGCTTAATTATATAATACTATCTAGGATACAAGAATCTAGAAACTTTACTCTTTCACCCAAGCTTAAGTATTTCTCCACAAGCTCATGTTGTATGACACATTGATTGTCAAACATATCTTGTAGGTTTAAATCTACTGCAGAGTTAAGACGATCTTGAGTTTCTATTGGATGTCCATCAATATCCTGTGATGGACTTTATCATGCTACATCACAGGATATTGATGTACATCTAGTAGAAACTCAAGATCGTCTTAACTCTGCAGTAGATTTCATCCCACAACATATGTTTGACAATCAATGTCATACAACATGAGCCTGTGGAGAAATACTTGAGTTTGGGTCAAGGAGTAAGTTTCAAGATTCTTGTATTCTAGATATTATTATATAATAAAGCTGAAAGATTAAATGTAAGCCTAAGTTTTGATTACTTTATTGTATAGACACTCAGGGATTTCCTTGGGGCCAAACTAATGACATTGCGCATGATAAATTTGGAGTATTTGATTGAGAAGTTTCGAGATCTTGATGATATAGGAAATGAGGTACACATTCATCACAACCGACAGAAAATGTTAAGTGTGTTCAAGAAATTTGTCTGACGTTGATATGTAAATTTAGGTTAATTATTATATCAATTTTCAGGAACTAAACTCCATTATCAAGAAACACCTTCAAGAGAAAGAGGAAGCTAATTGGAGAAACAAAGAGCCATGTATCCTGGATTATCTCAGGAAATGGTTCTACGTGGTCTGAAAATGAAAACTTATGCACCAAATCCTGAAAAATCCAATATTGACTGTGTTATTTGNTGTGTTCTCTATTTTTCAACCTTTTACCACTAACTTGGCAACATAAATAGTTTTGTAGGACGAATTTTTAGAGGGCACTAGCGTTGCTAGTCCGAACTACTGTGAACATGAGTATCATACCACGTGCTTACTCAGATGGCTGTATGACCATAGGTTTTGTCCATTCAGAAGCTTGGCCTTGTCCCCAAAAGCTGAATATCCAAGCTGGATAAAGGATGTCGGCAAAGTCCGAACTTTTCTTTTCCGTGCGTCGTGGACTATTCCGATTGACAATCTCTGGTGAAATATGAGTCATTGGAATATCATGAAATGGTTTAACCATTTTTTTTTATTAGCGTGAGTACATATATAGATGCATTATGCTTTTTTATGATCTGTGAATGGTAAGACTAGGAAATACAAAGAAATTGTTATCGACAGGGATAGTGAGTAGTAAAGTGTATATGGCTTAGACGAAAATTACGATTGTTAGTTCTTTATGATCTATGAATGGTTGGTCCACATCACGTTACGTTTCATATTGAGTCTTCCAAATTTTTCTTTCAACTTCCTATCAGTTAGCAAACTTACAAATCCTTGAATTCTAACATCTACTTTTCTCTGGATCATTGCATTTTTTAGGATTTTTTGACAAATAAGATCCTTGGTAGAGGGTGTGAACCTGATGGACTCCAT